CCTACTCTCCAACTGCCTACCCCTTTTCTGCAGGGCGGGCCAGTCCTTTATAGTGCTGGCCCGTGCAGGAGGCTGGCCGTGCCAATGCTCCTCTGGCCTAGACCCTGCGGAAGCTTCCAGGCAAGAGCCTGGAAGTTCCCTGAAGTTTCCCTGTAGGGAAACAGACTGGGGCCTGTAGGCCCTGTCAGAAGGAAGCTTCCAGGCAAGAGCCTGGAAGTTTCCTTGTAGGGAAACAGGCTGGGGCCTGTAGGCCTTGTCAGAAGGGAGCTTCCAGGCAAGAGCCTGGAAGTTTCACTGTAGGGAAACAGGCTGGGGCCTGTAGGCCCTGTCAGAAGGAAGCTTCCAGGCAAGAGCCTGGAAGTTTCCCTGTAGGGAAACAGGCTGGGGCCTGTAGGCCCTGCCAGAAGGAAGCTTCCAGGCAAGAGCCTGGAAGTTTCCCTGTAGGGAAACAGGCTGGAGGTCCGGGACGGGCCCTGCAAGGCCCGTGTGGCTGCACAGTATGCCACACTGTGCTCTGGCAACCTCCACGACGAAGACGAAGACGAAGACGAAGACGAAGACGAAGACGAAGAAATCACGCCCCTATGCAGAGCAGCAACAAAGAAAATCAAAACCCATTCTGAAAATGAGTGCACAGCCAAGTCCACCTTGCTGTGGTAGTAGCACTATGGATACCACCAAAACCCCTAGAAAAAAAACCAAGAAAACCCCTACAAACCCCCTGGAAAATCCCAAAGAAACCCTGTAAAACCCTCTGGAAACCCCTGCAAAACCCCATGGAAAACCCTGGAACCCCCCTAAGAATCCCCGGAAAATCCCCAGAAAAACCGTCGAAAATCCCTAGGGAACTAAACAGTCAAGGACTGGACCCGAACAGAGAACACTCAGCAAACCCCCTAGAAAGCTTAATAACCCCAGGAGGATAGGAGTTGAACAAAGAGCATGCTTCAACAGAACATGCACCTTGCAAGCTGACTCAGACACAATGGCAATCAAAGAAAAGCTTAAACCACCACTACCTCTGAGCCTCTTTTTGAAGGTGCGTAAAAGAACTGCGCGCCAAGCTTTGCCGACGCGCCAGAGCGACCTTTTTTTTTGTTTTGGCTGGCGCCATCAGCCATATTGGTCCGGAGGTACCCGGCCTCTGAAGAAAGAATGCAGTACAAGGTTATACCGCATTCTTAGGAGGTTAGAATTTGCATGTGAAAGGTAGTGGTGGTTTAAGGAAAAAGAACAATCCCACGACCAAAAGGGCACTTTTTTGTTTTGGCTGGCGCCATCAGCCATATTGGTCCAGAGGTACCCGGCCTCTGAAGAAAGAATGCAGTACAAGGTTATACGGCATTCTTAGTAAGTTAGAGTTTGCATGTGAAAGGTAGTGGTGGTTTAAGGAAAAAGAACCATCCCACGACCAAAAGGGCACCCTTCCCTAGGAGGGGTTTGGTGGTTGATAAAGAAGGGCACCCTTCCCTAGGAGGGGTTTGGTGGTTTTAAAAAAAAGGGCACCCTTTTCCCTAGGAGGAGTTTAGTGGTTTAAAAATAAGGGCACCGTTCCCTAGGAGGGGTTTGGGGGCTTTAAAAAAAGCGCACCCTTCCCTAGGAGGAGTGCGTCAATGGCTCACGATGTCAGGACCGCAGAAGATGGCAGGAGCACAGACATCAGGAGTGCGGCAGACGCCAGGGGTCGAAACATGCCACATCACCGCGCTCAGAGCACAACCAGATGCAGGCAGCCGGATAAGCGATCTGTACCCAGACGTGCATATGTCTAGGTTCTTTCTGACACAGGCATTTGTGCAAACAAACCTGTTCACGGAGGCATTCATGCCCGTGCAACTAGCACTGGTAGATATCTTGGTAGTTCAAAACCTCTCTAATCTTTTACATTCGTGAAAATGAAGCACTTTTTCACAGTTTACAGTTGGAAGTTTCCGCGACGAGGGGGAGGAGAGGCGGGGAAGAGGAGGGGAAAGGAGACGGTGGGTGGATGGGGCGAGAACAACATTGTCATTGGCATCCATCCACAAAAGCTTTACGCTAACAACAGCGAACTGACAAAAAGAGAGAAGATAGAATTCTGGATAAGTTCCAATGATGCATACCATCTGCACCAGATGCCAATTGGTCACCTGCAAAGAAAAACAAAAAACAAAGGGAGAAACAACCAAATTGGTCAGTCTAATCATGTCCGCAGAGAAAAAGCATCCACCATACTGTCAGGCCATCTTATTATCCTGTGCACCACCCTACCTTTTCCCTCCCTCTCTCTCTCTCTCTCTCTCTCTCTCTCTC